TCCAACATTGGAAATTGATACACACCAATAACAGCGTGTCGTGGCTTCTGCTGGTGAGCATCCTTTGAACACTTGTATGGACCCGCTAAGTCCAATGATAAAGTGTAAGCATCCCCATGCTTCCGCCTCAAATGGCGACGCTCCTTTCCAGCGGCAGACACACAGATTTGACAATCACGTCTGAAAGGAATATGCCCCCTTAGGCAGTGGTCACGGAAAGCTCGCTCCTCAGCTGTTAACCTCCGTAGCGTCCCTTCTCGTTCTTCCTTTTTTAACACCATAGCTTCCCGTTCAGCATCGCTCTCATGCAACCATTGTGCCAACCTGTGACGTATTCTTTTAACCAATCCAAACGCCCATCGCGCCCATATGGAGGATTGTCCAATACGCTCTTCCAGGGTAGAAGCGAATGTTGCTGACCACGGAACAACCACGCGAACTTGTTCCAACGATTCCCATAGTTCCATATCAGACCCCAGGAAAGTCGTAGGTTTCACCAGAGCATGTCCCAATGCTCCTTGATCAAAATGTGCAGCGTACATTCCATAACGCTCACAAAAACTTTTCACCTCTGGCCAACTCCAGAAGGTAGGACTTGAGAGCCCTTCCTGAGAACCATCCACCAGATCCTCAGCACTCAAGACCGTTTTGCCATTCTGAGAGAAATCTTTCCCTATGAGTTCAGGGTCCCCAGGGCTTTCCATGCCAAAGAAGACAGAACTTCCATTGATGACTTCAGCAGTTCCACACCTTGAATGCACCGCCACGTCATATAGGAAAAGCATCTTCAGAAGTAAAACACCATCCTTTTGAGCTAATTCTTGATGTGGCCAAGGAAGACTTTTTACTCCCAACCGTTCAGGCCCACAGCGTCGGCGTAATACAGGTGGACCACCGTCTTCACCTCTCAACCTTGACACTGTCCTGCATGGAGGTCCTCCAACCACAGCAACCACCTTTCCTTCAGCCGCCAGATGCAGAAGATACTTCCAGACGCTCGAATTATGTAGGTCACCGCCTTTTGTCAAATCCAGCTCCAGTACCTCCACATCCCGACTGGGAAAATGCCATTTTTGTTTTCCTGAAAATAGGTGTACCACCACCCTTTTTGCTCGTGCCAGCCGTCTCCTTTTATGACGGTTGAAAGGCAACGCCGCAATATCTCCACGTGGCAACAGCTCCATCAGCATATTTTCTGGTATATCCCCATAATACCACCGAAGAAATCTCCAGCATGCCTGGACGAACTCCTCCTCATTCGCTGACGCTGTCCGTGCTGCGCTTTGCAACGACGTTTTTACAGCCACCTCGTTGTCCGTATTCGGACACCCTTGAACCATACGTGCCACCTTCAAAGCTTGCTTTGGTGAGCACCAATCCATTTCATCAATGATCTGAAGCGCCACCTCCTTTTCCAAACAAGGGCACCCATTCAGATCACGAACGCGAAGTTCCCCCAGAACAGGATGTGAGGCTGTGCACTTGCCACCACGCCACTGAACTCTGAGACCAACCAAGGCGCTCGCTTTGCCAATTGGCACTAGTGGATCTACCATTTCAGGAGTTACCAGGGTCCCACCTGGGGTAATACACATCTCCCGAGATCCAACAGCTAAAGACACCAACACCTTTTGCTGCGGAAGCTGTTCACCAGGACGAAGTGATCTGAGAGGATGTGATGCTCCCGAGTCCAACATGCCCATTCCCGAACACTCATTGGTGTCAGAAACCCTGGCCACATGTAGAACGCATACTCCTCGGCCTTCTCCCTGCTTCGGCAACAACGTGGCATCCGACGAACCGACTCCACAGTCCGCCCTTCCATTCCTCCATTGAGAATGGGACCAAGACGCACGCTGCCTTTCAGCATGCAAAACCATTTTTTCAGCTGTTTTGTAATCCATAACCAAACAGCCATGTTCAAACCACAAGAGCTGGTCCAGCGAAGATTTTGCACTCACGTGACACATCCCATTGATCACGGTGAGGTTCGCCCCAAACTCCAAAATCAACCAGAGAGGGATAATCAGGGGCCCATTGTCTTCCCTAATCAACGTCCCTTTCTCTGTAATCCTCATTGTCACACCACCAAGCGCGCTTTGCACCATAACAGTAGTGTCGGGTAAACATTCCCATGGAAAAAGCGTCCGCACAAGATGCGTAGCAGCTGTATCCACCAACGCCACTCTCCCTTCCTGCTGAAACAACCCAGAGCCACATAACATTCGAACACTGGGATCCCCGCTTGATGCTGACTGTGCTGATGACAGCTTCATGGATTTCAGCACTTCCAACGCTTCAGCAAGGACCTGATTGGGTGTTGATGGTGATGAGGGACTTGCAGAACCTTTATCCAATCCCGCATTAGCCGTCTCATCTCCCCCTTCAGCTACCTCTGCCTTTTTGGCATTTCCCCATTTCGCACCTTTGCCGCCCTTTCCCCCTTTGGGAGAATTCCCTTTAGATCTACTCCTCTCAGGATTTGAGTCCACATTGGAACTTGCACCATCCTTATATGGACATTGCGGCTGCAGATGGCCAACGGCCCCACACTCAAAACATCTTCCTCGCTCAAGGGAGTCTTTGTCATGGCGAAATTTGCAGCGGGATCCGAACTTGCAACCTGCATCGGTCTTCCCATATATCCAACAGAAAGGACGTTCACCATCTCCGCTGTACCTTTTTCCTTTCCCTTTGCCTTTGTCACCCTCCTCTGTCTCGTCACCAGTTCCCTTTTGGGCCTTGTTTAACCTGGCCCTTTTCTTGGCGTCCGACTCCTGCTTCACCTCTTGTTCACCAGCACTATGCAATAGCAGTTCAAACTCTGCCTGTAACATTTCAGCTAGTTTTGTCGCAGTTTCAGAGGTCGGCGAGTAGTCCACCCCCAATTTCTCCCGAAAGGATGCCACTCTGAAATGAACCGTAGGGTGTTTCGCCAGCAACGCGGATGACAAACCATCCAATCCCTTGATAAGCAAGGTAGCGTCCGGCTCGGCCGCTCTCAACTCCCTCAATCGGGAACGCCATTGCGCCCATTGACGCACTCCCTTTATGGCCTCTGAGATCGAGGTTGCTGGAGATGGTTGCACCAAGAAGTTCAACATTGTGCTGCGCTCATTTGCTCCACCTGGCTGGTAGACCGTCAGCAATTTGTAAAATATCATCACTGACCCCAACATTCGAGTGGAAACGATCTCGGACTTCAATCTCTCCGGGATCGCCTGTAACAGCAAAGACACCGCTCTCTGCTCCAACAAAACATGCACAGTTTGAACCACTTTGAGCCCTTCCAGCTCAGCCTTGATGCCCAACCTTTCCAGCGGAGAAACACTCAACCATTTGGCATACGCTTGATATGCCTTTGAGTAGACGCATTGCCACCACACTCTTCCTGTATCTGTCAGCGAAGACAACATTGGTTCGATCATTGCGATCCAATCACCCAGTGCCGTCGGATTGCTTGGTGTGTAGTCTGCCAAAGTTGGAAGGCTCATCACATGCTTCCCGAGAGCCTCCGGACGTTCGGTTCCAGAACTATCACCAGTGATTGGCATACCACGAGGCACCACTGCTCCAGGAGGTAAACTGACCCTACCACCAGGCCCTTGAGGTAGTCCATGTCCTATACCAGGCGTAACAGCTGTGAGCGGAACCTTTTCTAATTCCAACTTCCCAGCGACCATTTTCCACCGATACGGAACATCATCCACCATTGTATATCCGCCCGATCCTGCTGAGTTCTCTTGCGTTGCAGTTTCCCGAGCTGAAACAAAACCGGGCTGGTTCCCCACAGGTGCGGCAGAACCATCAACACCTGACGGCACGGAAGTAATCGGAACATGTGTTAAACCAGGTGGTCCACTTGCATATCCACCACTTGCAGGACCTCCCGTGGGGTAATTCAATGGAGGCAATCTGGAGGGTTTCTTCCCTTCAGCTACATGCATCATTGGCACTTCTTTTTCATCCTCCACTTGAACATCCCCCTTCCTGGACCCAGGCAAGGATTGAAGATCACAACCCTTTGGCAGGTCGTAGCCCTCAATAGGCAGCCATGTCCCATCCGGCAACACAGTCCAAAAACCACCCATACCATCCGTGTAGAAAACTTGTCCTGGCAGGTACTGCTTCTCTGGAGTCATTCCTAGAGGATATGCCGTGTTTGCGTCCACCACTCCAGAGCTCCGTGCCCTTGAAGCTGACCCAGATGCAGCAGAGGTATAGCTTTTCTCCTCCACCCGATGCAACCTGTTCCCCAGCTCCTTTGTCTGCACAAGCAACTCTTTCAGCGCACGCTTCACCACCGCCATATCTTCAGTTTGCTCTTCACCACTAACATCAGGAATGAGTTCTTCGTCGGCTTGCACTCCACCAATAGTACCTCGTTCCATTTGGCCCATTAAGCCTGACGATGGTCTCTCAACAGGTGCAGGTTCCTGACCCACAAGATCTTGCAGCGAAGGTGGCCTCCTCGTACCTTCACCACTTCTATCCCCTCCGCTCGCAGGAAGACTTGCCGGCCTTGATTGCCTAAGTCTCATTTCTTCTTGAGCCTGCTCGCTCCAGAAAGGATTTGCTGCTTGAACCGGAACCACTTCGTTTTCCACCTGAGGCGTTGGTTGTATCATTGCAACCTCCCTACCATCTGTCAGCGCTTGTACCATTTGTTGTCGATCTTCACCCCCATCACCACGATTTCCTTCGGCTTCATTGGCCGTTGGCGACAGTCCAGGCTCAGAGCGACGCCGCATCATGTCCATGGCGTTAAACAAACGAAAAATCTTTACCTATTCCGCAGGAAGCCTAATTTGGGCTCATAACCTACGGGGGGCAACCGAAGGAGGACAGGGAACAAAACAGTCAACCCCAACAGAAACCCTTGATTCCCCTGGAACAACCAACAACCAAACAACAAGACCCCAAACCAAGGGCACACTTTTTACGAAACCTTCGACCGCTTTGGTCATGGCTTGAGCCATAAGATTACCGGGTTCATTGACTCATTGACCCTTCAACTTCCAATACCAACTCCTTTCTACAATACCAACTGCAGCTCCGCACCCTAAACCCTAAACCCTAAACCCTAAACCCCTAAACCCCTAAACCCCTAAACCCCAATCCCCAAACCCTACACCCTAAACCTTAGACCCTCCTACAGATGTGGCCCCTGGCCTGGAGAAAATTCACCGCGATGTGCTCCAGGATCCGCTCCTTGACATCCTCCAGGCCGTAGTGGTCCTAGCAGCCGGCGTTGGGTCTCTTTCCTTCTGAGGGTTCTACCTAGGGTTTAGGGTTTAGGGTTTGGGTTTAGGGTTTAGGGTTTAGGGTTTAGGGTCTAGGGTTTAGGGTTTAGGGGTTCTACCTTGGACCCTTGAGGTTGTGCGCCTGGGTTTTGGGGCTCCTTTTTCAGGATCCCGAAGGGAATATTAGGGCCATATGAGGAGTATAGTAAGGGGAACCTTTAGGGGTACAACCTTAGGGGTACGAGTCTGAATCCTTTTGAGAGGTTACAAGGAGGGACCGCCCCTAGCTATACGTAGAGTTATGCGGACCCGAACTTGGGTTTACAAGGGTCTTTATAAGGATCCTAACTTAGGTTACAAGTCCATTAACTATAGTTAGTATAGTGAGGGGGCTGCGAAAAAGGGCTCAAGTTACCCATAACCCCAAAAAAGAGTAAAGGGTACGACTGGGCTACCAAGCATAGAATCCTGAGCCACGGCTTCACGGTCTGATATTGCGAAGCTTCGTTAGGTAAACAGCACGTGGTAGAACACTGGAGGCTGACACCCCCCACCCCCTCTTTTTCCGAAAGCCAAAGCCCTAAACCCGAGGATGGGCCAAAAGCAGAGTAAACAACCCCTAAACCCTAAACCCTAAACCCGACACCCTAAACCCTAAACCTTACCCTTTTTGCATCCGGCCGGGCGAAAACCTGTAAAGCCCTCGCACGGCCATCCTCTTCCAGGATGGTCTCCGCCCGGCCAATGTCTCGATTCTCCTGCAGAGCATAGGGGATTTAGTGGGTTTAGGTTTTTTTTTTGGGGGGGGGCCTGGGGGATAAGGGCATACGGCATATGCACAGCTTTAGGACATCGTTGTAGCGTTTGGCACTCCACCACCTTCTCGAGGTCGTGCATTACCTTAGCCGACTGCAGACCAGCAGGCGCTAAAGCCTGAACCCCTGAAACTTGGGACGTTCCCTCTTGTACTAACAGTCCTTAATAGGGATTATAGTACCGCCTATTGTCATCCCTCTTAAGGACTGTTAGTATAAGGGGGAACATCTTAACCTGAAACCCAAACAACAAACAAACGACCTCAAGGATTGAAAATATGGGTGTCCAAGACAACGAAGCCAAACCTGCACCCTCGTTTAGGGTTGAGGGCTTCGGCTCTCTCACACTCGCACAAGGCAGGCAAGGATTCGGTTCAGGGTCTAGGGTTTAGGGTTAGGGCTTAGAGTTTGCTTTAAGGGTGAATAAGATCACCAGCGCCGAAACCCTTGGACCAAGAGGCATGGGTTCCCCTACTACCCCCCGCTATACAACCCCCCCCCTATGTTCCCTCCTTACATGTCTGTGGTAGTAGGGGAACCCCTAAAAGAGGCCTTCCGTTTCTCAAGCCCTAGACTGCACATGGGGGTTTCCGAAGTTCCGGATACCTTCTCGTGGTCCTGAATTTTAAGGGGATCCTGCTTTTGGGGGTCTATATTAGGGGCCCCTAAACCCTAAACCCTAAACCATTCCGAGAAGCCCTAAAGCATCCTAGGCCCCGTCCCAAACCCCTCCACACTCCTGCGTGGTCTTTCCCCATGGGAGGCAGGTGAGCCACTCCTGCTCTCTCACAACGGCTTTTGAGGGTTGAGTTTAGGGTTTAGGGTTTAGGGTTTAGGGGTATTTCAGGGCTTGAGTTTTCAGGGCGTAGGATTTGCGGGTTCGAGGGGTTCGGTTAGCGAGCTCAACGGCTTCAGTGTTGAGGGTTCAGGTTTCAGGTCTTGAAACCTCCACGACACTGCAAGCACATTTTGAGTTTTTAGTCCAGATCTCAGATGCAAAAGCCTGGCAGCCCAGTAATTATCATATAGGCACCCATTTTTTCAGCTAGTTGCTTGATAAGGAAGCCTTAGAACGAAAAAGAGGGTAAAGGGTACCCTAAACCCTAACCCCTAAACCCTAAACCCTAAACCCTAAACCCTGAACCCTAAACCCTAAACCCTGAACCCTAAACCCTAAACCCTAAAGCTCCAGGTAGGCCCGGCAGACGTTGAACTCTGAGGAAGATGGCTCCAACCTCGCAGAGTGGCTCCGCGAAGGCCCCCTCCCCTGCTCAAAAAACATGCCCCAAGGGTTTGGGGTTTAAGGTTTAGGGTTTAGGGTTTAGGGTTTAGGGTTTAGGGTTTAAACAAATAGGGGCCTGAGCAATTAGAATAAGGTTTTGGGCGACTATTATAGTATGATTACATAGGGCTGTCATAATATCCACAAAAAAATGTGATAACCCTAATAACCCTAATAACCCTACCAGAAGCCCAATATTTATCAGACTGAGGCTTGGTGCTGTGAGAGCTTCGCCAGCTCGTCGTCGATGACCTATCGGGGGGGCTTAAAGGTCCCGGTTCGGGCGCTGTGCCCTATACCCCCCCCCCCCCCCCATGGTACCCCCCCGCATCCTCCCTTGGATCCTACCCCCACCCCCACTTCCTGTGGTGTGGGTGTGGTTGGGGGGTAGGGTTTAGGGGTTTTTTTTTGGCTTAACCCTTTCGCCCCCCCTCCCCCGTGGTGTGGGTGTGGTTTGGGGGTTCGGGTTTAGTGTTTAAGGTTTAGGGTTTAGGGTTCGAGGTTTAGGGTCTGAGGTTGAGGCCCGTGACGTGATTGGGGAGTTGGGGTTAGGATTTGGGGTTCAAGGTTTAAGAGAGCCCGTGCTACCCCTGCGCCCCCCTGTCGTGTGGGTGTGGTTGAGGGGTTAGGGTTTTCGGGTTTAGGGTTTAAGGTTTAAAGTTTAAGGCTTAAGGTTTGCATAAGTTTAGGGTTTAAGATCTAGCCTTCCTGCCTGTGACACGATTGGAAAGAGAAAGTGTAAGGCAAAGACTGTCGGCCACAGTCCCACCCCTGCCTTCTCTTCATCTCCTAATTCCAAATCTCCACCCCTAAGCCCTAAACCCTACAACCTAAACCCTAATTCCAAATCTCCGTGCCTTCTTCACCTCTTCTGGCACGGTCTTCTCTTTCAGTGCATCGGTAAACCTCAATGGGCTCAGCAATCACAGCGGACAATGCGTGTACATACCCTAAACCCTAAACCCTAAACCCTATAGACCCTAGACCCTAAACCCTAAACCCTCTCTCTCTAGAACCCTAGACCCTAGACCCCAAGCAAAAAACGTGAAGGGTGGCTGAGCAAAGGGGTCGACCAGGGCTTCACACAAGTTCCGGCCAGCTATAAGGCGCAGCAGGACCTTCCAACGAACGCCTTGGAGTTTAGGGGTTTAGGGGTTTAGGGGTTTTAGGGGCTTAGGGGTTTAGGGGTTTAGGGGTTTAGGGGTGTAGGGGTTTAGGGGTTTAGGGGTTTAGGGGTTTAGGGGCTTAGGGGCTTAGGGGTGTAGAGGTTTAGGGGTTTGGGGGTTTGGGGGTTTAGGGGTTTAAGGGGCTTAGGGGCTTAGGGCTTTGTTGCAGTTTAGGGGATTAGGGTTTGGGGTTTTAAGGTTTTAGGGCTTGGTGTTTAGGGTAAAGGAGGGCAAGGACCATGAAGCATCCTAGCCGTTTCTATAACTTCAACTTCAAGTAACAGAGGGCTTCAAAGATCCTCCCCCCATCCTGCGCCCCTACACAATGTCAAGACCCACCCTAAACCCTAAACCCTCAACCCCAAACCCTAAACCCCAAACCCTAAACCCTAAACCCGAATGCCCCTCAACTTGGCCGCGGGGCTGCACTACCAGTGCCTCCTTCTCATCTCGCCTTGAGGTTGAGTTTAGGGTTTAGGGTTTAGGGCTTATGGGGCTTAGAAGGGGCTTGTAAGGGCTTATAAGGATAGGGTTTATAGGGCTTATAAGGGCTTATAAGGGCTTATCAGGGCCTATGAGGCCTTATGAGGCCTTATGAGGCCTTATGAGGCCTTATGGGGCTTATAAGGGCTTGGGAGGACTTCTTGGGTTTAGGGTTTGGGCAAAAGGGGCTTAGAAGGGTTCATAGGGTTTAGCTTCAAGGAACTTCTCAGTTGAGGCTTTATAAACTCTCACAAAAATAGGCTACGCAAACCCTTGGTCATCGAACGTCCTGATCGCAACTTACCTGAGTAGCCCCTTATAAGGTCCTCCAAAAGGGTCCCTCCTTTAGCCCCTTGAAAAACTCGAGCACTCGCGAAGGACATACTGACCAACGAGGGTTTTGGGTTGGTTGCAGAGGGGCTTCGAAAACTTTGCAATGTCAACGTCTTTGGGTAGGACCCCAAACCTAGTGTTCAGGGTCGAAGGGTCTATAGGGTTTAGGGTGTTAGGGGATTTGGGTTTAGGGCTGAGGGGACTGGGGCTGGTAGCCCTTCAGAGCAGCCAAGGTTTAAGGGTTTTCATAGTTTCGGCATCCTTCTTGAATTTTGCGTGGCAGAGACTTTGAGACCCGAAGCAACCCTAACCAGCCCAAGGCCTAAATTCTTAACTCTAGCAGGTGGCCAGAACCTACAAAATCTCAACCCTATATACCCTTCACCATTAGCTGTATGCTAGACCTCCTTGACCCGTGTCAACAAATCAATTGAGACCTCAGTCACCATGGCTAAATCAGCTCGCCGTGGATCGGATATCCCTAAACCCTAAACCCTAAACCCTAAACCTCACAATCAAGGAATGAGAAGACAGAAGCCCGTCGAGGCCACAGTTGGTCCCCTTAAGGAGGCGGTTTACCTAGTTTGGCCCGCTGGAGCCCCTGAAAGCGTTTAGGTTTGAGGGGTTAGGGTTGAGGGTTTAGGGTTTAGGGTTTGGGGTTTAGGGTTTAGGGTTTAGGGTTGAGGGTTTAGGGTTGTTACCGGTTGGGACCCCAGGTCCGGGTTCCGACATTCGGGTGGCTTCCTAAATTCGGAGTCCTGTTGAGGTCCCCATGCACCCTTTTGAGGATCCCAAAAAGGGACCTAAACCCGGGCCGGGCCGGCGGCTCAATTCCGAGCTCCTCTGGGCCGGGGGTGTGCTGGGTCTCCGTTGCTTTGTGGGGGCTTTGAAAGCCTATGGGCAATTGTGGGGCTTAGGTCTTGCCTTGCTGGGGAGTTTAGGGTTTAGTGTCCAGGGTATATAAGGTTTAGGGTTACAGGGTTTACGCTTTTTGGGTGGGATGTTTGTTGCGCAGGTCCGGATGCGGCTTTAAGTTCAGCACCGCGGGTTAAGCAGAGGCCTCGTCATCTATCGGCATGAAGATGGGCGCGTGCCTTGGCTTAATGGGGCCTGTAAGTGTACCCAACCCCTGAAGCGCCTGGCAAAAAAGGCTACTGGGGCGCTCTTCTGGGCATTTGAGACCCTAAACCCGCTCCTTTCCCCGTTGCTGCTCCTTTCCCCGTTGCTCCCATGCGTTCTGTTCATGTTTCCACTCCATATGTTCTGCCAAGTTTTGTGGCGCTGTGGTTAGACCATCGCCAGGCCAGCAGGCAGGCAAGTGATGGTTCTGAGTTGGAATCCGTTTGGTCGCCCAGTGTCTCGCTTCGTGACAGTCCGCATGACCGATTGCATAAACCCTGAACCCTGAACCCTGAACCCTGAACCCTGAACCCTAAACCCTAAACCCTAAACCCTAAACCCCAAACACGCCCTCTGAGCCCCAGTGCTGAGCTTGCTGAAGTCCCTAGACGACAAAGGACAGGTTTTGGGTTACAGGTTGCGGCCGCTTCTGGTATCTTACGTTAGCGTTAGGGTTTAGGGCTTAGGGTTGAGGGTTTAGGGTTTAGGGTGTAATAGAAGGATTTCTGATCAAGTTCTTCCAGAAAAAAGGGAGACTTGATCAGGACTCCTATCATGAATGGCATGGGACTACTAGAGTAGAAGGAAGCCTAAACCCTAACCCCTTTTGCCTGGACCCTAAACCCATGTCATTTGTCATTTGTCCCACTGTGAGACCCGCCGGAGTCCTTAATCCAGTGAACCCCCCTTTCTTCTCCGATAAGCAAGGAATAAGAAAAGGTCAAAACTTTATGAGGGACATCCACCAATGCCAAGGTTTGCCTGAAAAACCCTAAACCCTAAACCAAATCCTAAGCCCCAAACCCTACAAAGCTGTCCTTCATGATCGACTTCATCTGGGCCTTAGGTTGGTCCCCTCAGGGGCATGCCCCACCAGCCATACTGAATGTGGAGCAACGAGACCCACGAGCAACCCAGGAACAAAAAACGGCCGCCCCTTTTGGGTTTAAAGGGGCTTAGAAGGGAGCTTAAACCATAAAAGGGAATTAAGGGCCTACACTGGGTCCCAGAGAAGTTGCGGGGTTCGGTGGACGCTCAGCCTTTACCGGTTTACCGGCAGAGCACAACAAAATCTGGGGAACAGCGTCGCAACCCGGAAGCTCTCCACAAAAGAGCCACGGCCGAAGAAACTGCAACCGACCGAACCACCTCCCCACTCCCCCCCCCCCACCCACACCCAGCATGAATCCAAATGACTTCAGGCCCTCCCAAGCACGCGGAAGGAGCCTCTCTTCCTCTCACTCACCCTTTCACTACCCCCTTTCTCCCGAGCCTCAAGCCCTCCGTGCAGAATTCACAAAATCCCCCCCAAATCCAGAGCCCTGCCAACCCACCACCAAACACCCCTAAACCCGAAACACTAACCCTATACCCTGCCGGAGGGCCATAAGCATCTCCCTCTTCTGAACAGAGGACATGGCACCGTCGACCTGTTGGGTTTGGGCTCGACTTGACGACCCATGTGGATCCTCATAATTCGGGGTTTAGGTTTTCAGGGGTTTAGGGTTTAAGGTTTATAATTAGGGGTTTAGGTTTTCAGGGTTTTTTTGGTACACTTAGTAGGGTTTTAGGGTTTAGGGTTTAGGTTGTTATAGGTAAGGTAAACTAGATTAGAACCCCCTTCCAGGTTACTTGTGAGGTGTATTGTAGCTCCAGCTACAATTACCCAGGAACCTCCCAGTGGGTTTAGTTGCTGTTTGGCCACCTGGTCTAGCAGACGCAAGGGTGATTCAAACGGTTTAGGATTTGGGGGGTTTAGCGTGGTTAAAACCCCAAACCCTAACCCCTAACCCCTCTCAACCCTCTAAACCCTCAACCCTCTGAACCCTCAAGCATCTAAACCCTCAACCCTCTGAACCCTCAACCCTCCAAACCCTCAACCCTCTAAACCCTCCACCCTCTAAACCCTCAACCCTCTAAACCCTAAACCCTCCAAACCCTCAACCCTCTAAACCCTCTAAACCCTCCACCCTCTAAACCCTCTAAACCCTCAACCCTCTCAACCCTAAATCCTAACCTAAACCCGAGGGGTGAAAGAGCCCCCTCTCAACCCTAAAACCCCTCAACAACGAGAGCTTTGAACCCTCTGGTTCTTCGCAGGGAATGAGGGAATGAGGGCCCGGTTTAGGGTTTGGGGTTTAGGGTTCAGGGTTGGGGTTTAGGGTTTTTAGATGTAGCCTTTAAGGGATTATGAAAGGGCCCTCATCACCTACTAAGAACGACGCAAACGCATCGACCAGAGGCGGTTCAGCACAGGGGGTAGGGGCTCCTTTGTCAAAACCCCACCCCCACCCCCCTTCTTTCCCCCACCCTCCACAAGGTTGCCTATGTTGCAACCTTACGCCAACTCCAACAGTTCGAAGCCTCTACCCCCCCATTCCCACAACACGTCCTCAAACCTTTGAACCCTGGTTTAGGTGTAGAGGTTAGCGTTTAGGCTTTAAGGTAACAACCATTTCCGGCTTTGAGGGTTGAGAGGTTTCGGGCCTCTTGGGTCGGCGGCCTGAACCGGAGGCTCCTACATTTAGGGTTGGGGTTTAGGGTTTAAGATATACCCTACAGGGATTATGAAAGGGCCCTGCCCTCATCCCCTACTAAGAACCAGCCAGCGAAACGGCTTGCCTCGCTTTTCAGCTTGGCTTGGACTTTGCCGAGCTCCAGGTCCTTCTCCACCAGTTTCAGCACCTTCTCAGGGTTGAGCCCGAAACCCTAAACCCTAAACCCTAAACCCTAAACCGAAAACCTAAACTCTAAACTAAGTGAGGGGTCGCTTCAGCCGAGTGACAGACCCCGAATGATCGGCCGAAGGGCCTTACAGCCCGAGCGCCCAAGCGAAAAGAGACACGGAATGGTGAGCCGTCTGTCCTGGACAGGCCAACGGACATCGGCCTTCCTTACGACAACGTCACTGCTCGGATAAGGCATGGCCTTACCCAGACCACCTTTAGCGTAGCTAAACACTAAACCCAAAACCCCAAATCGTAGCCCTTTCCTCTGAGCGTCGTTCGACAGGCTGGTTGCTCATTTTTTGTGAATTTGTGCTCTTGGGCTTTTTCACTCTCAGGGGGCCCCTGTAGAAACCTCCTCAAGCTCAGAGGTCCCCCCAAACCTTGGCGAGAGCCTCCCAGAAGCCGCCCCCTTTGGTGGGTCTTGGCGCATCTTGGGGCTTCCTGGACCACCCTCCTAGGGGCCTCCCAAGGGCGTTTGCCAGGGGCCTTCCGCAGCTCCCAAGTTGTAGAAAGACCGAGAGACTTTCGGGTCTTCTTGAAGGCCTTCAAGAAAATAAGGCCTTTATGGGCCCTGACGTGCTGAAGGCCCGAAAATGGCCGAGGCTACCCCGAACCCAAGCTTAAGCCCCTGGCGCCGCAACTTCAACCAGAGAAATATGCATAGGCGAACATAAACTCAATATACCCTAAACCCCAATAGAGTATATAGTGTGGGTGGCCGGGGTGGGTTGACGAGCAACGCGAGCACCCTGCCCCCCTAGACCCCTGACCCCGACCCTTCCTGGCCGGCCCTCCCAGCACCCTGGTCCCCAGCTTCTGGCCCCTCCTGTGACCCCCCGCCCCGCTACCTTCACCACACCTTTGTAGGGAAAGCAATGGTGGGAATTGAGGCCGACAGCCCTAAACCCTAAAAGGCAGTGGTTTGGGTGGTGGCCTGTGGAAGCTCACAGCGGGTGGGGAGAAAGAACCTAGCGCCAATGAAATTGTTGGACTACATTGACAACAGATGCCTTCGCGTGACATGACGCCCCCCCCCACACCCCCTGGGTGTGTAGGGGCACCATTTACACATGGCACTTACTGCCGCTGCGCGGCGAGACGCCCTAAACCCTATATAAACCCTAAACCCTAAACCCTACGTAAACCCTAAACCCTTAGAGCCCTCGAACCCTCAGAAGCCCGCCAGGCATCTCGCCTCAACTTGCCCCTAAGGCAATGCTTCGGCTAGAATGGTCTACCTGGTAGCCCAGCAACCAGATTCTAAGAAGGGCACCCTTTTTTTGGTTGGTTACTTCTAAAGGGGAAACCATAACAATAAAAAAAGGGTAAAGGGTACCACTGGGCTACCAAGTCTAGAATGGTCTAGGGCTTTTGGGTGTCTTATGGGTCTAGGGTTTTAGGGTTTAGGGTTTTAGGGTTTGGGGTTGTGGGTTTTTTGGGGGTTAGGGGTTTGGGCTTCAAGGGCTTCAAAGGGTGTACAGGGTTTACGGGCTTCAGGGGCTACCCGCGCATCCCCCGACCCCCCACCGACCCCCCCCCCCCATGGGCGCCTTCCGCAGGCGAAGGAGTAGGCTCTCCTCTTCAATGACCTCCTGCCGCCATGGGACAGTACCATATAGCAACATAATAAGATAAGAAGATCATAACAATATGATAGGATAAGAATGTGATGAGAAAATAACATGGAAATATGGTAGCATAAGAGTAGATAACATAATCATACCCCGCAAAATGTTGGGGATGTTGAGGTTGATCGGGCTTGGTGCACTCTACCCGAACAGGTGTATGCCTATGGTTTGGGGTTTAGGGGGTTTAGGGGGTTTAGGGGGTTTAGGGTTTAGGGTTTAGGGTTTAGGACAACCCGTAACTCTATAGGTTGGTAGGCAGCTTGGGAAACTGACCAGGGCTGGCTTTTCAGTTTCATGGGGCCCTGCCAAGCCCATGATGGCTCATACCCGTGTGCAGGCATATGAGCACAGCTCCTGCCTGTGGTATCAGAGTAAGCTCTTCAAACATAATTAACCATCAGCTACTAATTGCTTAAGAACCTCGAACAAGAAGATTCTTCCTTGTTAAGGGTAATATATGGGGATTAAGATGTTTTATTCTTTTGGGGTTGTAGCAGGAAGGGTTCCTAGCTTGTGACATGCAAGGTGTGAATGCTGCATGCAGCCGCGGAATAAACCCCGCTGAGCAAAAGAAGAAACCAAGACACCAGCACCCAAAACCTACCTATAGGCCCTACAAGGAGGGCCCCCCCTAGTTACAAGTAGAGTTATAAGGACCCTAAATTGGGTCATAAGGATCCTAACGTAGGTTATAAGACCCTTAGCTATAGTTAGTATAGTAAGGGGGCCCCTCGTTGTACAGGCCTGAAACCCTGAACAGCCACGGGGGCTGATAAACTGTGTCACAGCTACCCACCGCAAGAGACACATTAAAATTATCGCGCCCGGCGCATCATAGAAAGCAGCCGCCCACCAAACATGCTGGCCCAGGCATGCTAGGTTGTCCTGGGTGGGAAACCTAGAAGCTTCTCTGCATTGTTTTGAAAGTCATATACTGTACAATGGTTATGCTTACAACCTTGTTATCTTCTTGTCTGGTTAGATTACTATGTTGGCATATTATGTTCTCGTTGGCATATTGTCTTGTTGGTGCATGTTATTCTAGGAATATCTCAGTATATTAACAAGTCATTCTAACATTGGTACATTTTGTATATTCTTATACTACCATATTCTTCCCTTATGATCTTATTCTATGCTTACACTACCCCGTCACGCCCCTAAACCCCAAACCCCAAACCCCAAACCCTAAACCCTAAACCCTAAACCCTAAACCCTAAACCCTAAACCCTAGAACCCTAAACCCTAGATAGGGCACCACAAGCCCCTCCCATTGAGGGCACCTGCAGCTCCCCGCGTGTGGCGGTGCAGATGCCGGCCACCTGACTGCAACGGCGGGGGGTCGGACTCGGGTTAGGGTTTAGGGTTTAGGGTTTAGGGTTTAGGGTTTAGGGTTTAGGGTTTAGGGTTTAGGGTTTAGGGTTTAGGGTTTAGGGTTTAGGGTTTAAGGGTTAGGCTTTAGGGTTTAGGGTTTAGGGTTAGAGGCGACCACAGGGTGTAGGGCTTTAGGGTCCTAGGGCTTAGGGTTTTCGGGGACTCAGTGAGGCCGTGCGGCAGGCGGTTTTAGGGTTTTAGGGTTCTAAGGTTAAGGTTTTATCATCCACATGCCTTAGTAGGGTGGCCCTTAACACCCTCCTGAAGAATATTCTCGAATATAATCCCCTTGAACCCACTAGGGGGGGGGGGGGAAATATACATATATATATATATATATGTATATAATGATCCAAGATCCTCGCCCCTAAACCCTAAACCCTAAACCCTAAACCCTAAACCCTAAGCCCTAAACCCTAAACCCTAAACCCTAAACCCGAAACCCTAAACCCTAAACCCTTCACTCCCGAGCCCGGCGCCAAGTCAGCCAGCTTCAAGGGGTCGTGCCTGTCGAAGAACCTCTCTTCGGGCGTTGAAAGCTACAAAGTTGGGATGCTCCGCCGAGGTTTAGGGTTTAGGGTTTAGGGTTTAGGGTTTAGGGCTTAGGGTTTACAGGGGGTGAAAATACAACCATAAACACCAATACCTAAAGCCCTAAAGCCCGACTGAGAACCAGGAGCAACCTAGGAGGAGAAGGGTGCCCAATTTTTGGTTATAAGGGGATTACAAGAAAACCCCAACCCTAAAGAAAGGACGAAGAGTCCTTCATAGGGATTACAATCGGGGGGTACTATAATCCCTAGTTGCTTAAGACCCCCCAAACAAATGGACATGTTATTCCTTATTATAACGGGTGATGTAGAGATTACTTTGTTCTATTCTTTTGGGGCTGCTAAGCAAACAGTAGTAGTATCACGGCCTAAACCCTAAACCCTAAACCCTAAACCCTAAACCCTAGACCCTAGACCCTAAACCCTAAACCCTAAACCCTCTCTCTCTCTCTCTCACGGGCGCTCAGTCAATGTAAAGCCTAAAACCTCCCAAGCTACAGATAGCTACGGTCTGTGCAGGGCTTGAGCGTCGGTGTTGAGCTAGGAGCTGCAGGGGTCTTCTACACGGCAGCCTTGCACTGATCCACTAAACCCTAAACCCTAAACCCTAAACCCTAAACCCTAAACCCTAAACCCTAACCCCCAACCCCCAAACCCTAACCCCCAACCCCCAAACCCCAAACCCAAAACGCTAGACCCAGGTTCCAAGCCCACCCGCCTCAAGGCCATGAAGCCTTGCCAACAATCCCCTTGCCACGCCCGAACTCCCACGCGAGGCACGTGCCAGGTCTGAGGCCAACAAAAGCAGCCTTAGACCCAGCCACCCCAGACCCAGGAGTAACCTAGGCCTTGAAGAGACTCATAGCTCTTCCCCACATAAGGACAATGCTGCTACATGCATGGTTTCTAGGAGGCTGACAGCGAAGCATTTGTAAAACTATTTGGAGAAGCCGATTCGCCCTAACTACACATGCAGCTAGGCCCAGACCTCAACCCTAAACCCTAAACCCTAAACCCTCATTTTTGCATAAAAAAAGAGGGGGCTTTAGGGTTGAGGTCTGAGGTTTAAACCCTAAACCCTATATAAACTCTAACCCTAAATCCTAAACCCTAAACCCTAAACCCTAAACCCTAAACCCTAAATCCTAAACCTGCCTGAGGCCCTGACTTCATGACGGCCTCATACTGCTCCTCTCAAGCAACTCTCGCGGCGAAAGTCCGGCTGCGAGGCCACGGACACTGGACGCAAGAGATCACCCTAAAATGGCCCTGAAACAACCACAGGTTTAGGGTTTAGGGTTTAGGGTTTAGGGTTTAGGGTTTAGGGTTTAGGGTTTAGGGTTTAGGGCTTAGGGCTTCTAGGATGGCCCTAAAAAGCCTCTGAACCTAGTTGCTGAGTACCCTGGGGTCTTTTGCAAGCTTGGAAGCTAGAGGCTCTGCATAAGGCACGGGGCCCCCGCAGCTTGGATTGTTGCCTTCTTGAACTTCTCATATCCCGGTAGCCCGGGAAGCATGTTATAATAGGGGTACCCCTTTTTTGGGTTGGTTGCTTTATAAGGGAACCTTGAAACAAAAAAGGGACAAAGGGTACCACAGGGCTACCGGGATATAAGTAACTTCTCATATAAGTGCCTTGAATCCTTAGGTTGAAGAGCTCTGCAAGGAGTATCTCTCATTTAAGTGCCCTGAATCCCAAGAGCCCCCTAAGGATGGTCCTTGTACCGGGGGGAGATCGACAGCAGCTCACTGAGCTTCACGTTCAGGTCGCGCGCGGCGGCCTGGAACAGAAGGCGGGTCCCATGTGGGTAAGCACGTGCCTAGGTTGGCGCACTTAAAGTAGACCCAGGAGTAACCTTGGAAAAAAGGGTACCCGTTTTTGGCATTACGGGGAATAAGGTCCTAGTAAGGCCTCTCAAAATAATCCTGAGTGAAACCCCCTTACACTCCAAGTAAGGGAAGCCCAGAGATGTTCCAGTGAACGCCTACCTAGATGTGAGCTAAACCCTAAACCCTAAACCCTAAACCCTAAATTGAAAGGCATGGTCTCGGGCGTTCCTCAGTCGGCTTGGAGAGCCAGAGTGACGGCCTTTCTAAACCCACTAATGTGGGGGGTCGGACTGACTAGTATTCCCTTCTGGCCCCTTGGTAATTCTACCATAATGATGGCCCCTTGGTAATTCTACCATAATGGCCCTAAACCCTAAACCCTAAACCCTAAACCCTAAACCCTAAACCCTAAACCCTAAACCCTAACCCCCCCCCCCCAAAAAAAAAACGTATTCCAATTAATTCAGGCCCCTATACTGGTCACTTCGAAGGTGCCGCATGCCCAATTCCCCTAAACCCTAAACCCTAAACCACTTCAAAACTGGCGGATAGGGGGTTGGGGTTGTAGCCTCTTGGGAGTCTAATGTCTTCGGGGTCTAGGGCCCTGAACCCAAAACCCTAAGCCCTAAGCCCTAAACCCTCTAGAGTCGGCTCACAAACCCTAAACCCTTAACCCTAAACCCTAAACCCTAAACCCTAAACCCCCCCCCCCCCCAAAAAAAAAAAAAAAAAAAAGTATTCTCATTCATTCAGGCCCCTATACTAAGTCACTTCCTAGGTGCTGCATGCCCAGCCCCCCCTAAACCACTTCAAAAACTGGCGGATAAGGGTTAGGGGGTTGTAGCCTTTTGGGAGTCTAATGTCTTCGGGGTCTAGGGCCCTTTTTGCATCCGGACTCCCGTGGGGCCCTAAACCCTAAACCCTAAGCCCTAAACCCTAAACCCTCTTGAGTCCGCTCACAGATCCTAAACCCTAAACCCTTAACCCTAAACCTAAACCGTAACCCTAAACCCTAAACCCTAAACCCGAAGCCCTCTGTGCCTCCACCTTCTCCTTTCCCTCCTCGTCGACCTGAGGGCTCTCGAGGTACCTCGGGGGGTGCTCTGCTAAATTGGGCTTCTGTTAGTTTAGGGTTTAGGGTTTAGGGTTTAGGGTTTAGGGTTTAGGGTTTAGGGTTTAGGGTTTAGGGTTTAGGGTTTAGGGTTTAGGGTTTAGGGTTTAGGGTTTAGGGTTTAGGGTTTAGGGTTTAGGGCTGTGGCCCCTCTACTTAGACAGTACATTGTCCTGGGATAGGGGCCTCTCAATGGCATGCACGGAGGGGGAGAAAATGCATCCAGTAGCTGATCCCCGAAGAGAACATTTTTGCCCGTAAACCCTACGGGCCCTACACCCCCTTGTTGCATCCAGGCCTCTTCGTACACTTCCGGGTAAGATCAGATTATCTGACTAACCTGTACCCAAAAACCCGAAAAGCCTGCCGAGGGCCTTAATCTAGGGGCCTGAATAATTAGAAGAGGGCTTTGGGGGGGGTTATTATGGTACAACTACAAAGCGGCCATAAGGGAAAATTATTAGTAATTATAACCCTAAACCCTTTTTGCAGCCGGACTGAGAGCGTTGCCGGAATGGGAGCCAGGGAACCCTAAACCCTAAACCCTAAACCCCAAACCCTAAACCTTAAACCCCCGACACCTGTGTTAGGCCATCAATCGAATAGGGCCCAAGCTCCACCGACACAGCGGCCAAGGGCACCTGGCTTGGATTTGAGGGAGCACTCAAAGACAGGTTCTTTTACCCTAAACCCTAAACCCTAAACCCTAAACCCTAACACTTCAGTGGAGTCGTGTGGTCTTCAGGGCAAAAGACCTCAATTGAGGTCTGCCTCGCTCAGGAGCTGCGACGTAAGATTAGAGAGTTTTAGGGTTCTAGGTTTAGGGTTTAGGGCTAAGGAGTTCAGCATCGGATCTCATGCAGGCATGCGAAATCTACAGTCACATAGAGGAACAGCAATCCGGGAAGAACCTGCTTATGAGCGTCCGGATTCTACTCACCCTGAACCTGCGCGCGAAACATTACGATAGACATGGAACTGATTGTGCGAAAGCCCGCACATTTCTACAAGCTCGCCAATCAAGATCTCCAGCCGCCATAACTCTTTGTTGCATGGCACAAGTTGCCACACAAGGACTTCACGCTTGTTCTGCATGGCGATCTTCACGCAAATCGGCTTGCTTCGAGCTGCGCTGACTGGTTGCAGCTCTGCGGTGACCAAGACCGCTTGCTTCGTTGTGTGGCTTTGAAAGGCCGACGCTGTAGCAGCCTTGAAGACCTGGGGGTTTCCCAAAATAATTAAGGGGACCCTAAAATCCCCCCCCCCCTTATAGTAGGATTCCCTTATACATGGCGGACTCCCTTCTAATGAGGGCCCCAATAAGGTACCCCAAATGTTGGAGACCACCACCTGGCTTTCCGTGTTTTTGAGGGTGAACTCGACAAAGCCCGTGTCATCCAAGTAGTACTCCATGACCACGCTTTCGGGCGTGTCAATCTGCTTTGGCGTTGATCCATCGCACGGCTTCGTGAAGGCCATGGCAACGACATCCGTTTCAAAGTAGCACGTCTTCTCCGAGGGCGTCGGTTTCGGATCCCCGCACCCCGCGAGAAGAGATGCAAGGAGCACAGCGCCGGCAGTTCAGTGCAGGGCGCGCCATGGCAACGATTGGCTTCGGGGCTTTTTTACGCTGCCGGTTCCGGATCGCACCTGAACCCAACCGAGATATCAAGAGTACTGTCGGCACTTAGAGGAAACATGGTCTGAAGGGACACATGGAGCAAAGACCAGGAAAGCTTGAACTGTAGCCAGCGTTGAAGGCTGAGTATGAGAACCACAGTCCTGAACCACAATTGTGTTGTGAGGGGTCAGGGGTTGGGTAATGCTAGCCCTTGCGACCACATGAACTGTAAAAATTGGGATCATCATGGTATATGGGAGGCCTCGCACACTCCTTGGAGCTAAATAGGTGATTTAAACTTGTGTTTTGGGCCGCCTCCGCTCTGACCGTGTAGGGGTTATAAGGCGATGATGATGTTGGTGACTATTTCCAAGCTCCTGTAGTCAGCTTATGATAGCTTATGCTTCGTAGGCCCAGTAGCCGTACTTTAACCAGGGTTTATAAAGGAACCCACCCTCACCCTCCCCACCCAAAAAACAAATATGCAAAAACATGAACACTGGGGAGTGCCAAGTATGAGAAGCCCCTGGCGCCGAGCGGTCCCTTCAAGTTTACCTACGGGGGACCAAGCCAAAGCCCTAAACCCTAAACCCTAAGCCCTAAACCCTAAACCCTAAGCCATAAACCCTAAGCCCTAAGCCCTCAAGCATAAAAACCTTAAAACCCCCCAGCATGTCAGTGCGACCGTCGGAGTTACTCCGGCCCTGACAAGAAGCTCGTGGACTCAGGGTTTAGGGTTTGTAGTACTTCTCCCATGACTGAACAAACGGGCCATTTTTTAGAGTTTACCACGAAGGGGCATCTGACTAACAGAAATGGGCCCGACGACAACACCATGCGGATTATCTGGGATCTGCTGAAGGAACTTCCAAAAAAACTACTCATCAACAGCTAGTCGCCGTAAGCTAATCCTAGCTGTCGTGTCCTTACTTTCATGGCCCTCTGAACCCTAAACCCTCAACCCTAAACCCGCCTAAACCCTAAACCCTCAACTCAGACCTTACGAAAGCAAGATCGGCTTCGGAAGCGGGTTTCGGGTTCAGCGGAATTAGGGTTTAGGGTTTAAGGTTTAGGGTTTAGGGCTCCGGGTCATCATTATCCCCCATCATCATCTTCAGGTTCCCCCTCATGATCATCATCTTCATCATCCTTTGGCATGCAAGCAGTACAACCTCTCCCCCTCTCCTGACCCTAAACCCAAACCCTAAACCCTTAACCCTAAACCGAAAACCTAAACCCTAACCCTAAACCCTAAACGCAGGGGCCCTGGCACAGTTCTGTTGATCCGAATCCTCTTGTGCGGGATGATCACGATCTTGCCCGGCTCCATGTTGTTGTTGTACCTGGGATGAATATAGGGGCCTTAATAATTGGATTTTTTTTTTTGGTTGGGGGGGGGGGGGGTTAGGGTTTAGGGTTTTGGGTATAATTCCAAACCGGCCAAATAAGATGATTTCCCAAAATAGGGGTACCCCGCTACAACCCCAAATAGAACAGAAGCCCCTTTTAAAGGGACCCTCCCAAAACAGCGCACCGCTATTTTCGAAGGTACCCCTAAAACCCTACACCCTAAACCTAAACCCTAAACCGTGCTGAGCGCTCGGGCCCACCCAGGTGAACAACCTGGAGGATCGTACCCACTTGCTCAAGCTGGGCGACACCTGGCTTAGGGTTTAGGGTTTAGGGTTTAGGGTTTTGGGTTCTGGTTTAGGGTTTAGAGTTTAAAGGTCGACTTCGGAGGCCGGCCTACCCTAAACCCAACACAATAAACCCTCAACCCCAAACCCTTGTCCAGCCCAGGCCCCTCTAAACCCTAAACCCTGAATCCCTTTCTGATTCCATTCTTTTGTGTTGCTCCGGGGACCCTCTCCGGCTCTCGCTCTCTCCTAAACCGTCTGAAGATAGTCCTACTTGGGAGCCCAGTAACCATATTGGACCAAGTAATAAGTGCACCCTCTTCTGGGGATACTTGATAAGGGAACCTTGAACCAAAGAATGGGAAAAGGGTACCACTGGGCAACAAAGGGTCTCTTGCCAAACCCAAGAAGGCGAGAACACAAGCAACACATTGGCCCCACGTAGTTTAGATGGTCGCCTAGCAGCCATATTAGAATCAGGGTACCCTTTCTAAACCACAACGTGCAAAAGGATACCCCTGGGCAACCGGCCCCCGGGCCAAGGCCCAGGCTGTCTACGCGTCCGGCGTCTGCCCGTCTGGCGCTCAACCCGATGCTGGGGTCCTTGCGGATTCGGGGGTTTGGGGTTTTAGAGTTTGGGACAGATTGGGGTTTCGGGTCTTGTGTTTAGGACAGACACGTCCTAGTTGGCCCTGGATTCTCTTCCAGTGATCCTCTGAAACCCTAAAGCTGTAAGAGAACATACTCCAGGGCCTGCCTTGCTTCGTCAGGGTTCAAGGGGCCGCGAACAGCAGGTGACCGGCTGTGCTCCTAAACCCGAAACGCTAAACCGGTGGGGTTTAGGGTTTAGGGTTTAGCGTTTAGGCTAAACCCCAAATCTGGCATAGAAGATCCCTCCCACCAAGGCCCGGATGACTAAGCACCAGCCCTAAACCCCAAATAGTTTCAAGAGCGGCCCAACTGTGCATCCAACCTCGGGAGGCACGGTTTCCACGACACCTTCCTTCACCAGGAAGCCACCCAGGTACGTTGCCTGGCCGGTCCTCAGAGTTTAGGATTCAGGATTTAGGATTGAGGGTTTAAGGTTTTGCGATTTAGGGTTTAGGGTTAATTTGAGTCGAAGCCCAGGTTACATTTCGTCTCCTCGCCATATGGAGGTTCTGAGATGGATTCTGAAACTTCTCAAGTCAGTGGCACACCCCCGCCCCCCACCCTGTTTTCGGCACAAGCTCCTAAACTCATTCAACCAATCCCTAGCCCCATTAAAGCTTTCAAACATTGAACAATTGCACACGCATGTACATAAACATAAATATAAATCTAAATGTAAATATAAATATAAACATAAATATAAATATAAATAAAAATATAAATATAAATATAAATATAAATATAAGTATAAATAAATATATATATATATATATATATATACATATATTTTACTTATCTATTTTTTATTTATTAAGAGAGAGAGAGAGTATGTGGAAACATGTGAGGTTGATCAAAACATGCACGTACACCAAGTAGAGAACCACACGTTCCGTTCAAACCCATAGGAACCTGCGTTACGAAAGAATGGCATTGAGATCGAACCGAACAAACGAACAAATACACAACTATATGTATAGATGTATGTGTAAAACAAAATCGAAAACCAAAAACAAAAAGACAAACAAATAAGTGCAAACACTTGAGTGCAACTATAGAAGTATACTTCAACAAATAGGAAATTAATGGCAACAAATACAAAAGAAATATAACTAAATACATAAATCTATGAGTATATATGTATACATGCATATATATATATATACATATACATACACACATACAAACAGACTTCGCTGGGTTTCATGATGAACCTCAAGGCCTTAAGCCACTAAGGACGCCACTAAGGACATCCTCTTGACCGAAACGATCCGGCTCACCAGTGCAATGTCTTAGCAATCTGTCGGACCCTAAACCCTAAACCCTAAACCCTAAACCCTAAACCCTAAACCCTAAACCCTGAACCCTGAACCCTGAACCCTAAACGTTACGACTAAACGTTGTTCATCGTGGTCCTGCGACTCTCTCACACACACACACCGGGGAGTGGGTCGGCTTACGGGCTTCCTGGCAAATTGGCTTAGTCGGCATGGTTGCATAGCACCCGACACCCAAAACCCAAAACCCTAAACCCCAACCAACCCTCAAACTTGGGATGTTCCCCCTTATACGAACAGTCATTAACAGGGACTATAAGAGGGGGTACTCAAACCCGATTCAGTACTGTTAGTAATTAGTATAAGGAGGAACATCTCAACCCCAAAGCCTAAACCCTAAAGGGCAGGGTAAAGCCTTTAGACAAAACCGAAACCTGTCCCTAAAACCCCCAAGCCCCGAACCCCAAAGCCCTAAATCCCAAAACAAACCCTTTGAAACCAGTTCGAGCTTGCAGCTCGAACCCGCTGATGTGGACTGTGCAAGTCTGCCCAAACCCCCCACTCGCCAACGCACCAGGATCAAGAGAGTTTTGGGCCGAATTTCTTTGGGCTTAGGCTTTCAGAGGAGGTTTTGGGTTTTGGGTTTTTCGGGTTGAGTGTCCGCCACCCCCTACCCCCCCCAGCTCCGCACACCCCCCGCGGGGTCTTGTAGGGCTTAAGGGCCTAAATTTTAGGGTTAAGACCGTGAACCCTGACCCGGCGAACCCAAAAGCCCTAAACCCTAAACCCATTTTGAGCGCCGGACTTCCGCAGGTTCACAAGAAAGTCCATGATGGAGTCGTCTGTGACCTTCATCCCGAATCTAAGAAATATTGGTTCAGGGTTTAGGGTTTGGTTGGTGGGGGTATGAAAGTTCTTAGAACGAAGAGCCGAGAAAAATCTAAAAGTCTGGGACCCTCTCCCCACCGCAGAGCCCATCTGAAACCCTATACCCGAAACTCCCAGAAGACCCGTCTACCCTAAAGCACAATAAAAATATTCATCACCAAAACGTCTGCGGTAGTAAACCTGAGCCCAAATCATACCCTTACATATACTTTACTCCCGCACGATGCTGATAAACACGTTGTAGGCAGGCACGAATGAGCTGGGCATTTCCTAAAACAGGGGTTCCCTCTCACGGTCCCCCCCAAAATACTCCAATCCTTTATTTTACAATCCTAAACCCGGAGTCTTTTTGTTCTACGGGTCTGACCTAAACCCTAAACCCTAAACCCTAAACCCTAAACCCTCAAC